GGAAGTAGACGTTTGTTATAGATATATTATATGTACCGATGGCAAGGGTCACAGTGAGAAGTCTGCCCTCCTCATCTTTCTCTATTCCGGAAATCGAATACTGAAGGTTTTTATGGAAAAGGATCACCACTCCCGCCTTTCGACCACTAGAGGGGGATCCTACTACTTCTCCCACCCAGTATTTATGTAAACGGATGAAATCTCCCTCCTGTAAATGCGTTTCTTGCAATAATCCTATATCAGCTTTTAGGCGCTTCAGATGCCGGAGCACCATATTGCGCTTCTGGGGGGAGCGCAGCCCTTTAACGTTCCAGGAGATGACTCTCATAAAAGGTCATCATGGGGATGATTAGGGCGAGGTGGTAGATAATACCAAGGCCATATAAAGATAAAAAATAGGCCTGGAGGATAATTCAAATCCTCCGTTAGCATAGGAATCCCTGTCCACAGCCTTAGCCTAACAGTTAGCCTTTTGCGGGAGGGCGTTAGAGTTGGAACAGTGGATATGGAGACACAGCAGCACACAACTGCCTCTTTTAGGAACTGATGTAGTGTACGCAGGGGATATGCAAACAATCCTGTAATAAGTATAACAATGGTCAACAAAAACTTATCTATAACATAAAACATAACAACAAATTTTCTGACTTCTCTATTTCCCAATGTATGCAATGTGGGGAATGCGCGCAAACTACATGTCCCCACCACCGCATACCTAAGAGATAAATATACCGTTAGGCCCCGACGCCGATCCCCAGGGGCTATTAAGAAGACAAGGACCCATATATAGCACCCTCAGATGCCAGCAACCTGCATGGAGAACCAAAAGTCCCAGCAATGGTATAGACATAAACAATGGTACTTTAGTGTGGCAAGGGTGATAATTATCGTAAAGCAAGACATTCTGTCCTGTGGCTGGGTCAGCGTTTACGATATTTTCGTGGTGTACCTCATTGTTTCTTGAGGGATTTTGTAAGGTGACCGCGGTAGGGGAGGCGGTTTGGAGGGAGACCCTGTGTCTTTTGATAGACGATTCAAGGCGAGCAAAACCTCCGATGTGTCTTGGAAAGACAAGCGCTGGCCCGAATTGGAAGTGATGTAGAGCAGTGCTCCCCAACCTTTTTATCGCCGCGGACCGGTCAACATTTAAGGTACCGGGGGTTGGGGACCACTGATGTAGAGTGTAGCTGGATAGGCTAACGTGAATCTGATCTGTCGTCTCACCATTCGTTGAATGCCTTTATTTTCTTGGCTACATCCGCCGAGTAGTCCGCAAATAGCAGTAAGCGGTGTCCATCTACCTCCAGTGATTTGTTCGCCCGAAATTTATGCAGCACCTCCACTCTGTCCGCGTAATTGAGATATCGCACAATCACGGGGTGAGGGGTGGCGCCATCCTCCCTGGGGGACCTAAGCGGTGTGCTCGTTCCACTAGACATGGCGCTCGTATCCCCAGTGCCTCTGGTAGGCCTGTTGCACAGAGCTTACCCAGTTCCGCTGGCTTATACGTTTCCGGCAGGCCCACAATCCTGAGGTTGTTTCTTCTGGAGCGATTCTCCATATCATTGATTTTGGCTTGCACGGATTGTTGCGCCTGGTCATAGTGAGAAAGCTTTGTTTGCGCTTCTAGTAGATCATCTTCCAGGGAGGAGATGCGTTGCTCCGCTGCAGAGATAGATCTGGCCTGAGCAGAGATGTCTTTCCTGATCTGTGAGAGCCCTTGCTGAATCGCCGCCTCCACCGCTGCCCTTATGGTGGACTTTAATAATTTAGCCACCGCTGCAGCAATGCGGGCATGAGCGGGGTCCTCATCCTGATCATCCAGTGAGGAGCTGGGTGAAGGGCTGCGGCAGCTCTGCCTGTCAGCAGCGTCCACCATCTTGGCTGTTCCAGCTGCCCTAGATGTGTCCTGAGAGCGGGACCGTGAGCGGGAGCGCGGCGGTTTCGGGGCCAGGAAACGGAAAAAAAAGGGAGGTTCCTTCCCCCGTGGGGGGGGGGGGGGGGGGGGCGGCGTCGGAGCCGGTTTTATATTAGATCGGCTGTGTCAAGTGGGAGCGCCGTCTCCCCGCTGCCCTTCACATGGGCGCCGGAACCGGAAGTCCTTTACTTCATTTTTAAAGGACATTTATTATGACACTTTACACTCTATAGTTTGTTGTTTATATGATTAATTTGGTTATAAAACATTTATTTATATATACGTGCAACTTGTGCACATCACGGGTTTATACCTTTGCTGAGATAGGATTTTTAGGTTTGTCCCATCAGCTTTTAGATGTAAGTGGAGGAACAAAAAGCAGTCTTCATTTCAGAATGGCAACGTGTTTCATCTGCCGTATATCAGGTTTATTCTGTTCTCAAGTCCTCTCTATGAGTCAGTAGAGCAAATCAAAAACACATTTTAGTAGAAGAATAGAGCTATGTGAAAAAGTAAGTATTGTTGACTTTTCCAAACATATATGAAAGGACAAACATTAGATCTTCAGTGACAGAGTGTTTTAAAGATAAACGTGATATACTGGAACAAATTGCACACAAAATTGACATGGTGTATTCATTCAAATATTCTAAATTAACAAAAATGCTGATTTGTCCCAGAAAAAAGTAGGTACATGCCTCCATTTGTCACCAAAAATATGTCCTGATCAAGTCACTTTAAGTGCATTTTTTATTATTATTTTATATTTATTAGTGTTTTACCTGCACTATGCAGTGAGCTTTGTTCTGTTTTTACATGTGCATGTATATGTGGATTTACACAGAGCCAGCAAGACTTTATGGTTTTGCTCTGGTGCCAGTGAAGCTCAGTATTTTTGGAAGATTTGACTACATACTACCACCACTTCAACTCCATTGAATTAAAATCAAGTGTTCCAGATTAGTTGCAAATTATTAGAACCTCCTTAGGGAGTATGCTGGTGGAACCTGTATTATTCAAACCTTAGATATCTAGAGTCCAAGCACATCGAGGCAAAGAATCAATGACAAGCCTGTCAGAATTCTTAATGACGCTATCACTATTTGTTCGCATCATGTCTGGACCAGATCAAGACCAGAACAGTTTTTCTGCACAGGTGGGGCGTCCTCCTGACAAGCCTGCACCCAATTTGATATCTTCTGCCCCCATGTGCTCCAAGATGGAGACTCTCATAGTTTAGAGTTAGGACCGCACTATAAGAGGTGCCTTGGCGCGGCAGTGCGGCTTACACATCCTTTGCAGAAGACGTGTATCCAAACCTCTGTCATTGTCCTTAGTGGTGAGACAAGTTGTTTTACATGCTGGTTTGTGAGTGTGCCATGATGCCTTTCTACTGATTTCTGCACATGCAGACACAGTGGACTGCACCTGAAAGCCCATTTTAAGCTTAAAAAAAACACAAACGCACCGGAACACGGCAAAAATGCACTGCACCACATTTGCAGATCTGCTCCAAATCTGGTCCGGACATGCTGTGAACAAGCCCTCAAGGTGTAGAAATATATGGAATGGTGTTCAGTTTGGGTAGTACAGTATGTGTCCCTGTGTGTTAACAACACGATGGACCTATAAAGTGCATAAGGCTATACTTAAAAAAGTGAAAATATGGGGAAAGCTATAATATATATAAAATAGAAAGCTTCATATAAGGAGCATAACATTGATTTGAATTCTACAGTTTCCGCATGGTTATATTAAAATACCATTATTTATTCCGGCATTTTGGGTATCTTTGAACTGCTGAGGCTTTTTTTTTCCCAGCACAATTGTGGAAGCATTATTGTGCATAATCTGGGCTTAGGGGTCTGGGTGGAAGAAATACAAGTATATAATGTTTAATGTATTGGTAATGGAAATTGATAATGTCAAGTAAAATTACATGTATTTTTGGTATACAATTTGTGTATAAATAAATATGTCTAATCATTTGTGAGTTTTTTAATACATAAATATATTAATAATATAATACAATATACCAATTAGGGATACTAGTATCAGTATCGGTGCAGATACCGAGTATTTGGGCGAGTACTCATACTCGACCCCGATACCGGAACTTCCGGTCAGAGGAAAATTTCTGAGGAGAACATGGAACCATCTTCCTGGGCAATCAGGAAGCCGGGTGAAGTAATGGTCCGCCTCCCGGCTTCCTGATTGGCCAGGAAGCCAGCTCCATGCTGATTGGCCGGGAAGCCGGCTTTCCGGCCAATCAGCGTGGAGCCGGCTTCCCGGCCAATCAGGGAGGTGGGTAATTTACTTTCCGCCCGGCTTCCTGATTGGCCAGGAAGCCGGCTAGATGCTGATTGGCTGGGATGCTGGTTTCCTGGCCAATCACAATCGAGCCGGCCAAACAACATGGAGCCAACTTCCTGGGCAATCAGGAAGCCAGGCAGCACGTCATTACATGCCGCCCAGCTTCCTGATTGCCCGGGAAGCTGGCCCCATGCCAGTAGCAGCACCGGTATCAGTACTCGGTATCGGCAAGTACCGAAAGCAAAATATCAGTACTCGTACTCGATACTGAAAAAACGGTATCAGTGCATCCCTAATTTTAATAATTCTGATTCTCAAAATGTTATCCTTTTTGTGTATGTTTTGGTGGGAGGTGAATTTTTTCAATTGGTAGATCCACAATTTGGGGTTTATTGTTAAAATGTTTGCAATGCTGTTCGCTCTGCGAACATTTGACTTTAAGATTCACATCGTATTATGGGCACTAGATGGAGCTGGGGAGCAAAGGAAATACCTTTGCTCCTCGGTTCTATTTAGTGGCCATAATGTGGTGCAAATCCAAAAGTCCGATAGTTGCAGAGCAAATGGCTCTGCAAATTTTTATAAGTACACCCATTATGGTTCCCTTAAAAACACCCTATCTAAGTCTGAAGTCTCCTCTTCTCAGTGAATGTATAAGATGATATGAAATCCCTGTGCATGGTTTTATTCTTTGATTTAGCAAAATTGTTGCAGTTTGATTGAGTTGATTGAAGTGTGTGATTGTGATTTTCATGTTATATTTCTTTAGGATTTGTTAGTTTTACTTGATCTAATTGGAGCTCCAAACCCTGTTTTTCCAAACTACTTTCAAAATACTATTCGCTGGTATAACAGACTTCAGTCTATTGGTAAGTGTTCTAGAAATGAACTTGTAAAAATTGCTGCAAAATGTGGATGCTTAAAAAGTGCGTAAACATGAAAAAAAAAACTAAATCAAATCAATATTTGGTGTGTCCACACTTTGCCTCTAAAGCAGAATGAATTCCTCCAAGTACACCATTTTTTTTAAGGAACCCGGCAGGTAGGTTCCAATCATCTAGGAGAATTAATCACAGTTTCTCTGTGGATGTAGACTGTCCCAGTTGCTTTTGTCTCTTTATGTAATCCCTGTGGGAGATCTGTGGGAGCTATACCATCTCTTTTAGGACTCCTTGTTCTTCTTTTCGCTAAAGATAATTCTTTATGGCTTTGTATACTTGGGGGTCATTGTCCTGCTGCATAATGAATTTGGCACTGATCAGTCAACTCCCTGATGGTATTGCATAACAGATATGTATCTGCTTGTATTTTTTGGAGCATTGAGGAGATTATTAGTTCTAACGAAATCTCCAACTCTATGTGCAGAAATGCAGCCCCAAACCTGCAAAGCCCTCTACGATGCTTCTCTGTTGCTTGTAGACACTCAACCTTGTGCCACTGTCTCATCTCCTGTAAACAAACGGCCTTCTGTTACATCCAAATATTTTAAAGTTGGACTCCGTAGTCTAGAGCGTTTGCTGCTTTTTTTCTGCACACCAGTTCAACCTTAGATGAGCCACATGGCCTTGTTCCATGTTGAAGATATGGCTTTTTAGCCGCAAGTCTTTAATGAAGACCACTTCTGACCAGACTTCTGGACTGTAAATGGGTGTACCAGTTTTCCACTGATTTCTGCCAAATTTGAGCTGACGGTGCCACCGGACTTCTTTCTTGCAAAGTCAGCATGATGTGTCTTGTATTTGCTACACAAGTTTCCTTGGCTGACCACTGCATTTTTGATACTCAACATTGACTGTTTTTTTGTGCTGCACAAGAGCTTGGACAGCACATCTGGAAACACCTGTATTCTTTGAAATGTCTGCACATGATAGAATTTGTTAAAGATTTTTTACATTGAACATCTTTATATCTTGAGCAGCGTCAATTTGTTAGTAGAGCATGGCATTTCCTCACCAAGTTTAATTTCTCCTACACAGTTGATTCTGTTTGATTTAATCATTGTATATTAACCTACATGTTATCTTGTTGATCATTAGCACCTGTTTGGTATAATTGTTTAATCACTTCAGTATCAGAATGTTTCACCCCCTTCATTACCAGGCCATTGTCCAGTTTTCAGTGCTATGATACTTTGATTGGCAATTACTCCGTAATGCAACACTTTACGTGAATGACTTATACCGTTGTTCTCAAACAGATAGAGCTCTTTTGCTGTGATTTAATAACCATTGGGTTTTTAATTTTTTAACTATAGGAAGGAATAGACTGAAAATTTTTGGGGCAAAAACTTACTTTCTCTAAAAAACAAACAAACCCCATATCAAATTAATTATCATTGTTCATAACTGTAGACCAAATTGTATTCTGTCACTTTTTTGGGGGGTAAAAACCCAAACAAATATATATTATGTAGTCGATGTGATGGCCTACATATTATAGTATATATATATGTATGAAACTTGATGAACTGCCTACAGATTTCTTGATGTCAGGACAGTACAAATACCCTTTAAATTACCCCTTTTTGTAATGTATACACCCAAGGTATTTAGTTAGAGGCATGGTGAGTATTTTAAAGATTTTTGCCAGTATTTTCGAAAGTGAAGAATGGAAATTAAATTATATTTTTTTCACCAAGTTGTCTTTTTAAAAAGTTGATTATCACACACAGCATGGGCATACTTATGGTTACATCCCAGAACACATTTTAGTACTTCTCCTGAGTATGAAGATGCCATGGGTATGAGACTTTTTTGCAGCATAGCCTCTTAGCAAGGGCCCAAGATCCAAGGACCACTATCAGGCTTTAACCCTTTTACTGCCACCGATGTATGGCATACGTCGCTGGCAGCGGGCACCTTTAAGCAGATAGCTGCCGGGACTGTGTTTACATGTGTAAAGCCGACTGTTGATGATCCCTAGTAAATCCGATCACCCTTTTAACACACACCTCTCACCTAAAAGATGGACCTAATGACTATTTTAGGTCTCATTAACCAGTTGACATCCGCGGTGTTAAACCCCCTTCCAGGCCATTTTTCAGTATTCAGCGCTGCGGTACTTTGACTGACATTTATTCCGTCATGCAACGCTGTACTGAAATTAATTTTATACCAGGTGGGGGGGTTAAACATTTTGGGGGTTTTTTCACTTTTTTTATATGTTACTTTTATTTTTTTTAATTTATATATATACATTTTGCATATATCTACTTAGCAAGCAGTAGATATATGCAAAAACATTAAAATAAAAATGTAAAAGCTACCAAATAGATATTTACTTACTTGTGTCTCCGCTGCTCACTCCCGTCTGAAGATCTGAAGATTTTTGAGCGGCCGTGAAGGGTGATGGGGCGGGCGCATGCGCAGTAGAGATCTTTGGGCAGGAGAATAGGAGAGACACAGTGTAAGTCAATGCAGGCAGCCGGGTGTGTGCACACAGACAGACACCGTGGGACACAGAAGACACAGCAGTAAGCTGGATCAAAGACTGGCACCAGGGCTGGAGGGACTGCCGAAAACTACTGGAAAGAAGATGATTGGATCAAGAGGCATCATTTAAGGTAAGCATGTGTAATGCTCTGGACTACAAATCCCAGAGACGTAAAGCTTATCCCAAGGATGAGCCCAGCTGTAAAGCTTGGCAAAACTTTAATTTCTATTTGTTGTCTGTTCTTGCTGTAAAGCTTCAAGGAAACTGACCCAGTAGCATTTAAAAGTACTTTACTTGGCGAAAATGCTGCGTGTACAAACTTGGTTACAGGAAACAACAAATACATAAACAAGACAGGCTGCTACAAACATTCACATGCACCCACTACACTATCTTCTAGTACATGTATGATTTCTAGGAGGGGAAACACTGAAAATGTACTTAGCTCAGGCTGCAGGCTCCACAAATTCTGTGATGAGCAGGACTTCTTGGCCTAGGAAAAGGACTTCTCGTTGCAGTCTCTGCTAAATCCTTTGTATGTCCTGGTCTTGAAGCAAGTCCTCTCGTTTTGTGAAGCCCAACTTTACTGTCCCCCTCCTGTGAAGCCCTCGTCTTGTGAAGTCCTCTGAACCTTTCAGCTACTTGCTTTTTATTGAGCGAAAACTGGCCTAACACTTGGAAGCGCCTCCCCTTTCACTTTTAGGAAAATGAAATACCATGCATTTCACTTTCCCACCCCTAGGTGGCAGCGTTGTAACATAAATTGCCATCAGTAGTCCAGATTTGATTTGAGTCTTGACCAGGCTAGGTGTGGCTGTTTATGCAAAACTGACCCATACAGTGGAAAAAACCCTGAATGTTGTCATCTTCTATTCCGTCAAATGGTTAATGCATATTCTCATAGAGGAAAATAAACATAAAATCCATAGTGCTCCCTGTTTAAAACATTCTTTTTTTAAAGATCAAAAATACAGAACACTTACATGAAAATGTGTGCAATGAACCAGTGCACTCAATATAACATATTCTTAGAGGAATGGGCTGCAAAAATCAGTCTGTATCACTCTTGTATATATTCCTGTTCCACACTCCAAAATGTCACTTGAACTCCACCCCACATTCTATATCTAATCGACTTCCTCAGGGGTACATTCCATCAGGGTTATTCCATCATGGGTAAACCCATGATGAAATAAACCTAAAACGTCTCATATCAGACCACTTTTAAGAATGCATGTGGAACTTAGTGCATTGACAAAATGCATTACAAAGAAAAGTACAAGTAAATATCCACACAGCTTAAAAAACAGTATCACAGATAGCATAAATGTACTCCCATAAAATTAAAACAACATATAAATGACTATATAAATGACTATAAATGATCAATGTGATTGCAAACATTTCTGACAGAGGACCATATATCGCCTACACCATCGTGATATCATCATTATAGCCTATTTGAAAATAATAATGACATATATTGCATGTAAAAGAAATGAATATAATAAATTAACCTATAGTGAACACCTATAGAGTGTTAATAGCATGACATACAGTATCACAACATGCTAAACTAGATCACACATACACTTCAATTATCATCCAGATACAAACTACAGTACTGTAGTCTAAGTTTTTATTCATTATATTAGTTACATGCATTATATCTAATTGTTGTTTTCAAATGGGCTATAATGCACCTGTAGTGTAGGCAATCTGTGTCTGAGGCTCAATCTTTTTTTATAGCTATTCACTGTAGCTTGATCTGCTTGTAGTTAAGTCCGCTTCCAGATATTTTTGGTATCACACTGATAGTTTGTAATCATTTATGTGTTGTTTAATTTTATGGGAGAACATTTATACTATCTGTGATACTCATTTGTCATTGAAAGAGCGCACTGCACTCCTCCTTCTGGGCCTCCTCCTGTATTATCACCCAGGCCCCTTATTGCTAAGCTCCTTCACTTCAGGGACAAAGTGGCTGTGCTCTAGGCCTCTTGTCTAGCTGGGGAGCTTTTTTATAATGGCAATTGCATCTTCATCTTTCCTGATTTCTCCACCGAGGTACAACGACAGGAAGGCGTCACCTATGCCATGATGTATCCTGCTAAACTTCGTGTGTAGACTGATGGTAAAATGCACTTTTTCTCTACACCCGTTGAAGTGTCCAACTGGATGGATGGCAAGGGTCTTCCTCAATGCAGACGCCGCCAAAATGATGACCTGCCGGACTAAGGGAGTCTCTGCCTCCTTTAAGTGTTCTTTCTATCACTGAGCATGAAGCTGAGTGCTCTATATGATCGACCTGATGACCCTATTATTGTCCTGCACTGTTTTATGCCTTGTTGTTCTCTCCATGCTGATATGTGCGGACATAGTGTCCTTTTATCATGCTGTGTTTTCCTCCTACTTGGGAGTGAGAGTCTTTTTTTAT